TATCAAGGGAATTGAAAACACTGCAAATATTTCCTGGGTCTAAATTACACCAGCCCCGGCAGGCTGCGCGCCGCCGTCATCCAGGTTATGAATTTTAAATTGGGTGCCATCAAAACTCCCCTGCCCCAGTGTGGGGGGGGGCTCTGTGTACCCCCCAGCACCGGTACCCACTGCTCCTCTGGGTCCCATGGTGCCCAGAGGTGGTGACAGATGCCCAGATGCTCCTTGCACCCCAGCCCCACTCTGCCCCCCTGGGTTTGGGCAGCCCCAGGGGGTTTCTCCCGGGGAAGGGACCCACTGCTTCCTCCTCCTCCTCCTCCTCCTCCTCCTCCTCGCCCTCTGCCGCAGCGTGCCGGCACCCTGCCATCGCCCATCGGTGACCTGCCACGGCGATGCGCCGAGAGCTGCGAACCTGACCCCCAGCTGCCAAAAGGCCGTCAGATAAATCAGCAAATCAGGTGCAAATGGCAAAAGGAGATTAAAGCGGAGAGGAGCAGATTGAATCAGGGGCCATTAACAGATTAAATCATTACACAGAATCAGATCAACGCACAAATAATATGAATAATAAACATGGTTAGAGGCACCGGCTCACGCTTCCAATTTATTTCAACCTGAAGACAGGGGTTGGTGGCTGCCACCACCCACGTGGCTCGAGGACAGCGGTGGCAGCACCCGGCTCAGCTCCCCACGGGGCAAAGGACACTCAGAGGAGCTCCATGGCTGGGGACAGTGGCACCGCTTGGGATGTCCCCATGGATCACCAGCCTTCAGGGGGCCTGTCACATCCCCAGGGAGATGTGCTAACATGACCCAGCCCCTTTGTTGGGGGTCCAGGACAGTGTCACCCCACCAGCATCCTGCTCACCTCAAGATCTTGAAGCCTCCATAGCTCCAGCATGGCCCTTGGAGGTTGTGTTCCTGAGCCGTAGCACCTCATCCAGCCTTTCTTAATTAGGAAGTGTAATTAGCAGCAACTTTTTACCTGGGAGGAATTAGCAACCTGCAATGGCAGCACCTGAGCGTGACCCCAGCACTCTGTGCCATGTCTGGTGGCCATGGCTCTTGCCCACCGAGGGTCTCACAGGATGTGGGACCCCTGCCTGGCAGTGGGGCTGGCTGAGGAGGTGGCATCTGCTTTCCTCCTGAGACACTCTGCTGGCTCCATGGCCTCTTCTCCTCATCTAAATCTCCGTTCCAGTTGTATTTTCTCCTCCGCTGCCTTCTTTCCCCTCTGGAGAAGGGCAATAGCCACCGAGTCCCGGCTCTGCCGGCTCCTGCTCCGAAGGGGCCGTGTGAGGAAGCCAAGTTGCAGCAATAAAAGGCTGCAAACAAAGGGAAAAATTCCTTTCTCCCCAACTTATTTTCATATCCTTCACTGAAAACCCCAAGGAAGTGGGAACAAAGCCCAAGCCGTCCTGCGCATCGTGGTGGTGAGGGGCTTTGGGGCCTCCCTCGGCCACGGGAGGGTTAATTTGCACCTCGGCCGCCGTCACGCCTCTGTTCTGCTGGCAAAAGCTTTCTTCCCTAAATTCCTGCTTGCCCAGGAAGGCAGGACAAAGTCTGAGCCGCTGCGACAACACCCGGGAACAAGTATTATTATGTGGTGTGACAATGTTTGATGAATTCATATGTGCCTAGGGGAAGGGACTAAGTAGGTGAATAAAGTGAGAATATTCTCTGTGACAATCAATACCCCTTCAATTGAACCGTCTCCACAGATGTGACATTTTGATTTTTCTTCTTTGGATGTACTAACTGGATTTATGTCCCCTTAAAGTGGAAACAGCAGGGAGCGAAGTGCCGGCAGCAAGTTGACAGGGTGTGGGCACAGCCGTGGGGTGGGGAGGGCAGGGTGATGGGATGGGGTGATGGAGCTGGGGTGATGGGTTGGGGTGATGGTTTGGGGTGATGGGTCTAGGGTAATGGGTTGGGATGATGGGTCCAGGGTGATGAAGCTGGGATGATGGGTTTGGGTGATGGAGGTGGGGTGATGGGTTGGGGTGATGGAGGTGGGGTGATGGGACCAGGGTGATGGGTCCGGGGTGATGGGTCCGGGGTGATGGGTTGGGGTGATGGATCCATGGTAATGGGTTGGGGCCAGGAAAATGGTTTGGGGTGATGGAGCCAGGGTGATGTGATGGATGGATTGCGATTATGAAGCCAAGACAATGGATTGGGATGATGTATAGGTGTGATGGAGCCATGGTAATGGGTTGGGGCCAAGTAAATGGGTTGGGGTGATGGCATTGGGGTGATGGTTAGGGGTGATGGGGCCAGGGTGATGGTTTGGGTGGAGCCAGGGCAATGGTTTGGTGTGATGGAGATGGGGAAATGGACTTGGGGGAAATGGGGCTGGAGCGATGGGTTGGAGTGACGGGTTGAAGTGGTGGAGCTGACGCACCAGTACATGCAGACAAGTCTGTGCCAGGTCTCGGAGGTTCCTGGGCCACATTCTGGAGTTGCCACTGGTGAGAGGGAAGGACAGAGCGGGATGAGCTGAGAGCAGAGCAGGGGGAGCTCCACGTCTGCGACCTGCAGGAGAGGAGCTATTTACAGTCTCCTCCTGCACCCATCCTGTGACCCCCATCCCCATGGGTCCCCCCATCCGCCATCCCAGCACCCACTCAGGTGACAAAACCCCTCGATCTGTCAGCTTTTTCCCCGCTGGTGGTTTCACCACCCTCTTTCCCCAGGTGCCCCCCCAGCCCCCTCCGGTCACACCCACGGCGTCTCCGGGATTCCCATCACATCCCCCAGCCCCGGAGCTAATGACTCATCCCCAGCACGGCCATTTGTTTGTGCTGGTTTCAGACAGACTAATGTTTTTAATGGCACATAATCATTTTTCAGAAGTCATTTGATGCTACTAATCATCGCTGTGATACGCCACGACGGGATGTGTAATGACATGCTGAACAGGAAAAATGGCACTCGGATACTTGGTTCTTCCCGGTGTAATCTATATTTTACCACATATCTCTGCCTAATGATACTTATAGCTGTTAATAAATGACTACTTATGCACTTTCTTCTTTTTTTTTTTTTTTTTCTTTGGTGGGCAGTAAAATAATTTTGGATTAAAATGTAGGAACGGGGAAGGGAAGTGGTGGCTCAAGTGTTTCCCCGTGCGGGAAGCGAGCGGCGTTGGGGCTCGTGTGGTGGCGAGTTCATAGAAGGCAGTTTTCTCTGCTCATGACTTTTTAGCCTCTTGGTTAAATTAACAAGTGTGGTGTTTGTTTTTGTTTTTGTTTTGTTTTGTTTTTTAAATTAAAATAAAACTTTTTTTAATGAAATCTCATTGCTGCAGTAAGAAGATCCTCCTGGCCCCGTGCCCAACGTCTTCAGGATGAATCAGCGTGCAGTTCCTCATGCTCTCACTCATTTTATCGCTTAATTAAAGGGATGTTGGCAATTTTTTTAAAAAAATATGCTTTTTCTTAAACGACACTTTTCCTTCCCTGGGCTGCTAAAAGCCAGTGATCACAGAAAGGGAATGAATTTGGAGCAATGTGCCCTTTGCAGCAGGAGCTCCCTTCCTTGGCTGCTCTCTGAAGCCTGCTAGGTGCCACCACGGAGGGGAGAGGCCGGGTTCAAGGAGGGTCCAGCAGCTCACAGCTGTGGAGGAAGAGGAGGAGGATGGGGATGGAGGGGTGTGGGGTGCTGCGGGGGGCAGGACCCCGCTTTCCCCCTGGGAAAAGCCAGAAAGCGAGCGTGGCTCCTTCCTCCCCCTCAGCACCAGGTCGCACGTCTCTGCCCAGACTTGTGAGGAAGAAAAATTGCTTTTGCTTACATTTTTAATCTGTGTGTAATTACCTGCTGGGATCCTCGGGAGAATGCTAACCAGCGGCACAGCCTCCCTGCCGAGTGGCCTGGTGCCCTCCAGCATAGCTCACGGGCATGGCACACCGTGCCGGCTCTGCCGGGCAGGGACAACCTGCCTGTCACCTCCAAACAGCAGTGTGTTCCCTGGCACAGCTCTGCTGACATCCAAAACCATGGCACTTCATCCCATCCCATCCCATCCCATCCCATCCCATCCCACCCCTCACCTCCCCATCCCATCTCCTCCAGCAGTGAAGCATCCCTGCCGGTCTCCTCTTATTCCTGGCACACATTCCATGTGTTCCTCCCTGGGAATTCGGGGGCTCCTCTCTCAATGGCCATGTCCATCCCTGTCACCCACTTCCAGCAGCCCCATGGTCCTGGGTGGTGAGTTTTTTCCTTCCCAAGGGAATATCCCCACCTGTGCTGCTGCCCCTTCATTTTCCCCATCACCTCGTTACCGGCTGCTTTTCCGTGCAATCCCACTGAAGGTGGGAACTGGGCTTTGCGAAGCTGCCGCATGCGATGACTCCTGTGAAAATAAACAGAGGACGAGACCTAGAAAAAGCTGCCAATTACTTAAAGAACATCAACACGGCAACGTAATGACGAGGCACAGTTCCAGGGCCGCTCGCGCCGCGCCGCTCAATACCGCAATTAATGCCGCGGAGTTGAGTCGAGCTCCAGCCTCCCCTCGCTGTGCACGAGATGGGTGTGAGCCATTAACCTTCCCCTGGTCAGGGTGTTCCCGCTCTCCCCGGTGCCTTTAATTAGTCTGCAGGGCAATGCAACAACAGCCACTCGCTGACGACGTGCCAGCCCACCCTGGGAATGGAGATGCTCGGGAGCGGGGAGGGGGAGTGTGGCTCTACACGCGTGTGCAGGCGTGTGCACACATGTGCAGAGCCAGAGAGCAACATGCAAAGTGTAAAGCGAGGAGGGTGCTGGCTCTCTGTCCCTGGAGAGGGGACATGGGTGCTCTGGCACAGCTTTGGTGGCACCTCAGGGATGCTGGTGTGTGGGGACCCCACTGGGCTGCAGCCCCCCAACCTCCTCGCTGGGCCCTGGCCAAATGGCACCACATCACCTCGGATGGGGAGCAGCATGATGTTTGCGTTGCGCGGGGCTGAGTAGATAAAAGTGCTAATAAGACAGAGCACTAATTAATTGCAGCACGGGCTGACAGCGGAGCCCTCAGCCGAGTGCCGGCTGTCGCGCCGAACGGCAGCCGCGCCGCTGCCAGGTCATTAGGAGCTTGTGGGAGAGGTTGCAAATGAACCCGGGGGCTGAGGTCTGCAAAACCAAGTCCCTCGGCCCCCGAAGCAGCCGCCCTGGCTCAGTGGCCACCCTGGCTCCGTGCCACGCACCCCTCACCCCTGCCACAGCCGGGATTCGGCACCGGGATGTGCCAGCCCCAGTGCCAGCCCTGCTGGGACACCCTGCTGGGGCAGGTGGCCAGGGAGCCACAGCACAATGGTACCTCCAGAGCTGTACATGTTGTAATGTGAAGCTCCTTTTCTTATTTTTTTTTCTTATTTTTTTTTCCCCCCTCCTTCAAACCAGCAAATCAATTTGGTGGTGGCAGGAGCGAAGCCCTTTGCAGCTTGTGCGATTTGCGTGGAGTCACCCGGTCCCCTCTATCCATCATCCTTAATTAATTAGAATGTAATTACTTATGGATTCCTCTTTCGTTATTCATGGCCCCCAGGGCCTGGCATAAGGATTCCCCATCCCTCCGTCCCTCCGGTGCTGTCCTGCCTGGAGCAGGAGCTCAGGAGAGCTCCCAGGCAAAGCATCCCTCCCGGTGTGCCCGGTTTGTGTTGGCAAATGGGGTGGCAAATCCCCCAGCTCGGGCTGAAATCACTGCCCAAGCCCTGCCAAGGGGCATGAAATCAGCTGTGAATTCATAGAGTGGTGAAAATTGCAAGTTTAGGAGGGCAGGGAGAGCGGGGTGATGCCAGGGGGGGATGCAGGGGGGGGTCTGGGACAATGGGAGCACCCAGTTGGGCATCTCAGGTGCCTCTGCCCAACATCGTCCATCAGCAGAGACAGCGATGGGGCGAGGGGATGACCTGAGGGACCCCCCTGGACCCCGCACCCACCCGGGCAGGCAGAGCTCAACCTCCCGCCCCACAGCTTCGCCCTGGCTCCTCTCCCTGACTCTGCCATTAGAGCTCCCTGGCAGTTTTCTTCTCTCCCTTATATCAAGAAAAAGGACAACGTGCTGGCGTTTCTCTCTCCCGGTCATTCGGGCTTGAATTATTTCATCAATCACAGAGCAGCACTGGAGCTGGCAGGAGCCAGGCAGGCTGCAAGGGGGAGGTGAGGAGACCTGCCTGGCTCTGCCAGCATGCAGGGGGGATGGATCCAGCCCCAGCATCCTGCTTATACTGGGCTGAGGCAAGAAAACCTCCCAAAAACCTCGCAGGGGCCTGAGCATCCCAGCCCACATCCATGGTGGACCCAAGATGGGCATCCCTGCATCCCGATGGCGTTGCCAGGTCATCTCCCAAAACACATGGTCATCACCCAGGGTGGTACCAAGGTGCCGCGTAGGAAATGTCTCCACCGTTTGGTAAATACCTGCTTTTAACCAGCTTGTTTCTTCCCCCTCCTTCCTCCGTCAGAGGCAATTTGGCAACACAAATGTTGTGGCTGGCAGTGCCCCGAGCATCCCGTAAGCCCTCAACCGAAGCCAATCCCAGCCGGAGCCCCGGCAGCATGGGACTGTGCCAGGATTGTTCCCGGAGGCCGGGTGAGGAGCCGGAGGCGCTGGCAGCTGGCAGAGCCCCTCGGGCTGCCGGATAACCAACATCCCAGAGGATCCAGGGGAAATACGGTGCCCGGCTCGGTCTGAATCGCATCCAGCGGCCTCGCCATCTGCTCCGCGCTGGAAACATGTGGGTACAAAGCGAGTGTCACTTGTGCTAATGCTGGAAGACGGTGGCAACTGGTTTAATGTCCTTTGAAGAGCTGGCACGCAGCGGCCAGCCCCCCTCCCCTGCAGCCCTGTCTTCCCGTTTCCTACCCCAAAAAACGGGGTGCTGCCGCCCTGGCACATCGCTGCAGCTCCATCCTGGGGCACCCCCCTCCTTCCCCTGCACCCCATGGGGACCTGTCATTGTCCCCACGGGCTGGCAGGGTGGTGGCACAGGCTGTGGTGGCACCATCAGGCTTTGCTTGAAAACTTTCCTGTTAAAAGTTTAGACACGGGATCATTTCTTCTCTGTTGTGGGTGGGTTTTTTTGGTGTTATTTAAAGAAAATATCTCTGTACCAGTGTGGTCATTGCCCAGCAGGTTGTCCCTTCCTGGGGAGGGCAGCAAGAGGGGGTCTCCAAGTCACCACAGGGCTGGGGACAGGGACATTCTCAGCTCCCCGCTGTGCTCCAGCACGTAGGACGTGGTGCAGAGGTTGGAGGGTGGCAGTGACTCCAGCGCAGGGCACTGATAAATCACAGTGACATGATTACACGGGGCCACACCACGTCGTGGCAGCCACCTAATTAAAAACTGGACTAAAACAAGGCAAGAAAATAACTTGATTTGGGTATTATTTGCCTTGCTAATGCGGTGGCAGTTTTCTGCGCTGGGCAGGTGTTTATAAAATCTTAATTAGGTTTCATGTTTGGAGCAGGGACAGGTACAAGCTTCTGCCTTAATGGCCTTGCATGCCAGGGATGCTGCAACTCTGCACGTGCCCTGCGGCCACAGAGGGATGGCTGATGGCTTCTGCATCCAGGGCTTTCCCCCCCTCTCCTCTCCTCTCCTCTCCTCTCCTCTCTCCTTAATGTTTTTTTTTCTTTTCTGTTTAATCAAAAGTTCAAGTCGGACTCAGAGCAGCTATTTATAAAGCTGTTGGGGAGCCTGGTGTTTCACTCTTCAGATTTCCAGTGAATGGGTTGCTAACAGCTCCTGCTGAATGGGCAGGGCTTGGGGACATCACGGCACAGGGCTCGGGGACATCATGGCACAGAGCCTTGGGACATCATGGCACAGGGCTTGGGGACATCACAGTGCAGAGATCTGGGATGTTGGGGCACAGGACTTGGGGACATTGTGGTGCAGGGCTTGGGGATATCACAGCACAGGGCAAGGGGACTTCATGCCACAGGACTTGGGGACATTGTGGCTTGGGGACATTGCATCCCAGGAAATGCTTCAATGAATGGGTGGGGGGGTCCCCCTTCCCAGCCCCATGGCAGCCCCTGGCCCCACAGCATGGCCCTCACCATGGGGCCACAGACCCTTCCAGGGCCAGTGAGGGGGGTCCCGACCCTCACCCCCGCAAAAGACCCTGTACAGCAGAGGTGGCTGAAGTGCCCTGTCCGGCCCTACGTGGGGAAATGATTTAGACAGTTGTATTAAAATGCAAATTTCTGCCTGGCTTGCTAGTTTATCATCTGACTTGTTATACAATTTGCCAGTTATAGAAGAAAAATTACCATAATGGGCCCCTGGGGAATGGTTGTAAAAAGGATACCAAACATTACTTATCAGCCCATTCCGCTACAATTATCTAGTGCTTTTCTTCTCCCCCCCTCAACCCCGAGGAAAATTAAACCATCAGGAGGAGTCGGGGAGCTGGAGGGAGCGATGGTGGCAGCAGCAGAGCTGTCGGCGTGCCCCCGGTGCCTCTCTCCCCCCGCCAGCATCTCACTGTGTCCCCCCAATAAAGCTTTTTAATTGCCCGGGGAAGCGAAGGTTAAACACACCCGGCCCTCCTCAAAGGGAACGCGGGGAAACGTGTGAGTCTGTCTCCGGAGGAGCCGAGAAGAGAGACAGGAAAGGGACGGCCTTTCTGCCGCAAGGAGAACAAGAAACCCTTTAATGTGCCTCTCTGGAAAGGGAATGAAAGTCTCCTCGTTTATTCCGGGGAGGCGATTTAGCCCTGTCCTTCTGAACTCCATTCTGCTGTAAAGGCTTTGGCATCTCTGGGGCACCTTTGGAGAGACGAGCGCCGGGGACAACAGGCAGAGCCAGCACTCGCTGCCTGCCCCTGCCTCTGCTGCTGGCTGGGGCATCTCCTGGCGTGTGTCCTCTTGTCCCAGCACCTCCTGGCACCTACTGGCATCTCCCAGCATCTCCCAGCATTTCCCAGGATCTCTCAGCACGTCCCAGCATCTCCCGGCATCTCCCAGCACATCCCAGCATCTCTCAGCATCTCCCAGCATCTCCCAGCAACTCATGGCACCTCTCAGCATGTCCCAGCAGGTCATGGCATCTCCCAGCAGGTCATGGCATCTCCCGGCATCTCTCAGCACATCCCAGCTTCTCCTGGCACATCCCATCATCTCTCAGCATGTCCCAGTATCTCCCAGCATCTCCTGGCATCTCCCAGCATCTCATAGCATCTCCCAGTATCTCTCTGCACATCCTGGCATCTCCCAGCATCTCCCAGGGGAACCAGGGCAATTCCTTGAATCCCAGCAATGCCCGGGCAGGGCTCCAGGGCTCCCCCAGACCTCAGTTCAGAAGCAGTTTAGATACAGGGTGCAGGGGAGGTGGCTTCTTTTCAGATGGCTGAGGACCCCCCTGGGCATTGGTGGCTCTCAGCTCCTCAGCCCTGTGTCACACGCGTGTGTCACCCTGCAGCCACCAGCC